AACACTATACTTCCTGTTTACATCCCCCAAAGTCCCCAGATGATGGGAGCTGCAGTTCCACAACTTATTCCCCAAAACACAGAAAGATAAAGAATTGAAAGAAAGGAGTAACTTTAAAACCCCTGACCCACAGCAATGAGCCTTACGTGGAAGTTACAACTACAACACATCATACTGTGCTTTTAACAAGTGAAGGATAAAACATTTACTTGATGCTGTTCATCCATTCATCTTTTTCCTCAGCTGTGGGTGCGGAGATACGGTAGAACGTGTGGTTGCCCTCCACGACGCGTCCGTCAGCCTCGGTCTTGCACGCTTTTATCACCTGGTCCTTGTTGTCAGGAATGAAAAGCTCAAAGCAGTTCTGCAAAAGTTAAGTGGATGGATGTTAGAATTTATAGGAAGTTTTTTTAATCAAAGGCAAATTTATAGAAATAAAATAAATATTAGCTCTGTAAAGTTCTATATGTGTATACTGTTCAGCTCTGTATATACTCCATCATATAATGCTGCTTTGAGGAGGTAGCTGCCAGTTAAAAAGGTTGTCAATGTAAATGCCTGACTACCTGTCAAGCAGTAGTCATTGATTACATGTCTATATTTATTTAATCAGTCAGTTTTCTAGTTAATCCTTAAATGCCAAAGATATGGAAATTCTGCTGAAATAATCACAGTTGTCAATTTTCTAAAAAGGGCAGCATTGGAGAGAAAGTTCTTAAATCCAAATTCTAGTCCTGCTCACACTGTGTAATCCCAGAACGAACCAGCAGAGGGAGCTGTACTTACAGGCTTCTTATCCTCCACCTCCTTGATGCTCAGGTTCTCCAGTGGGATGATTCCTCTTGGCTCTTTGTCCTGGACAAATATACAATGTGTAAATGACATAATGCTGCACAAGGGGAACAACAGGACCAGGGCAAGTGGCTTCTTCACGGTGAATGAGCAACTAAGCTGTACTCACCGTGGTGTACTCGAAGTAGTACAGACAGTTGTCTGTGAGGATGAACCACCTCCTCTTCCAGGTTTTAACTCGTCCCCCTGTGGAGCAAACAGCCAGCGTCAGAGAGGCTCAGCAAGATAGAGAGAGAGAAACGAAGCGCCGGGTCGAGCATCAGACAGGCAGACAGGCAGACAGATGTATGGGCAGACAGACAGATGACGGCTCCAGAGGACTCCTTTTACCCAAAACATACCGCTATTCACCCCAATCCACCATTGCACCATGCGCTCACCATCACCACAAAAGCATAAACTCCACTTGTCTGGGTATTGTTCTTGAATGAATTCCTTTTCCCTTTTATTTAAATTAGAGGACTTTTAGCTGCTTTCACACCTAGGTACTGGTCACAGTACCACAGTTGATATAATAGCTGATAAAGCTAATTGGAGATCCTATGTCTCCATAAATGTCTTGGGGTGTCTGGAAATTCTCCTCACTTGCTGACTCAGAGGAAAAAGTCTGAAAAGCCAGAATCGATAAGACAGGATAAAGATCTATGTGCTTTGCGCTCACTGAACTTAATGAACTACCACCTAAATGAAGTTACTAAAGGACTGTTATAAATGTGGAAAGCACTCCAATCACCACGAGGGCTGAATGTGGAAAAGAAGGAGTGACTGAGGATTAAGTTCTCTTTCACGCCCAGTGGGGGCTCCCTGGTTAACCCTGCACTCACTGATCTGTAGCTGATCTCTGACCCGCTTTCTGTCACCCACACTTCCTGTGAGGGGAAACCTGATCACAGTAACAGATGGCAGTCTCGAGCTGGGAGGATGGGATGCCAACAAACTGAGGAGGGCAGGAAGCTCAGCGCCTGGAGCTATGCTCGGCTTCTCTACAGGCATCTCAGACTTGAATTTCCTGTTTTGGCTTTGTTAAGTGACTTCTTGGTTGTATAGGAGCAGGGTCCAGTGAGTTGGGGGATGAGCTTTCTTTCTAAACATGACATAAAGACCTAAGCCTTGTCTAGACTAGGTTATCCCACCACCAATGTTAGTAAAAAGCGGCATTGTGAAACCCATCTACCAGGATAGAGGAGGCTTTGAGGATGTTTATATACAGACATGTAAAACACACTTATATTATCATATAACAGCATTGGCGCTGTATATGATCTCCTATCATATCGCAGACATCATGACAGGTCAAACACTTGTCTATGCTTGTTATTATCTACAGACGCCATCAACACGTTTCACTCGACGGGCAGAGATGGAGAGCCCCTCGCACGCATCTCGACTCGTCAGCGTGTTGCGACAAAAAAAGCAGACAAACACAGACGCGATGGCAGAATCACACAGCTGACGGCCTGAGAGTTGATTGGGTTGGGTTGGAGGTTGTGACTGGTCACGGTCACGTCAGTTCCCGTCACTCCAAGAAAAAGAGAGTTGACCTCCTCCTCGTGCAAGAATGTCTGGGACGAGGCGGGACGTCCCAGCAGATTGTTGCAGAGGTGTGTGGAAGGTGCTAGGCCGGAGTGGAGCTGAGGGGAGGGAGGCACCCATGCAAGACAGGACTGTGGGGGGCTGGGCGAGTAGAGGGAGGGAACAGGTTTTTTTTGTAAATCATATACAGTTGTTGATAGTTTGATGATATATT